TGTTAATTAGGTGTCAACAATGGCCATGTGATGTGAGTGACCGCATCTCTGAAAGAGTGACCGCTGGCCTGTAAATGAGTCACATGGAGGCAGGGCTTAAAAGCCTGAATTTTGCCTGAAACTCTCAGACTGAAGAAGTCTCTTGGAAGAGAGACGAAACGTTTCATTAAAGAAGAACCCGTCCAGAAGACCTATACAATTTTTTTTCCTTCAAATAATTCTTGTTTAGCACCAATATAATTGAATCTAACAGGAGACCTGAGGCTGTAAGGATTTCTTTGTCCAGGTAATATTTAAACCCTCTGTGTGGAACATTATATCCACAGTAAATCAGTCAGAAACATGGAGAATAGATGAAATGTGCTTCAAAACCTCTGAGGTGTCTTTAATAGAAGGAAGCTGCTACAACTGATGTGATATGAAATCATATATTTAGAAAGAGGTTCTGTTAGAGACTGATTACAGCACCTGTAGGATGGTCAGGAACAGGTTCTGCTTTACATTCATGTGTTTTTAGCCTGGTTCAAACCAGACCCTGTCCTTCACTTTGCTTCATACCGGGGTCCGGACTCTCAGCTATAGAGAAGTGATTCTTGCAGGAGGCGTGGCCTCTGCTGAAGCATGTGTGTGTTGTCGCTGTGATGGAGGCTAGGCTAAGAAGCTAACAGAAATCATGTGTGCTGTAAACAACCCTACTGAGAGGAGAAAAGTACGGAGCTGAACGAGACGACTGTAAATGAGAGCTGCTGCTTTGTCAGACTAATTTATTTTAATTTGAAGCCTTATCAACACAGACTGGCTTCATTCACTTCCTCCACTGCTGTATGCTAAACTAACTAGCAGACACTGAGCAGAACATCAACGTTCTGTTCTCTGATTGGTCCAGGTAAAATAAACTACAAGCAGACACTGAGCAGAACATAGTTCTGTCAGGTGTAGAAAACAGGAAGCATGTTGTGAGGCCGTGGAAGGACGTTCATTACCAGAAGTCTTCTGTAGTTCAGAAGGTGAAGGTGTCACCTGATGCTGCAGGTGAGGAGGTTGTCCTGAATACATACAGTATGTAGGTAAACATGATTGTTCTGGTCCAGCGTGTCTTTGTGCTTCTTTAACTTTGGATCTGCAGTGAAGTCTCCTCAGATATCAGAGCAGAGCACCTGCTGTAGATGTCCTCAGTAAACAGTTTAGACTCCATCATGTCTTCTCCTCTCTTCACTTTTCATATTTGTGTTTGAAACTTCATCTGCAGTGAACTGAATCAGCAGCATTAGTTGTAACATTAGACTTTATTTAATAAACATATTTTAACTGTAAAAATACTGTAGGATGTTTAGTTTTTATCATTTTTAAACTAAAAGATTAAAAATATATTTTAACACGGATGGAGCCATTTTATTTACA